CCATCCCGCTGCGGCCGCGCCCCCGGCCTCGGCCCGGCCCCTTGCCCCGGCCCCGGGCACCGCGGCCCCGGCCCCAGCCTGGGGAGTGGGAATTGGGAATTTGGGATTTGGGATTGGGGATTTGGGATTGGGAATTCCCAGGCCCGGCCTCGGCCCGGCCCCTTGCCCCGGCCCCGGGCACCGCGGCCCCGGCCCCACCCTGGGAACGGGATTTGGGATTGGGAATTTGGGATTGGGAATTCCCAGGCCCGGCCTCGGCCCGGCCCCTTGCCCCGGCCCCGGGCACCGCGGCCCCTGCCCTGCCCTGGGAATGGGATTGGGGATTTGGGAATTTGGGATTTGGGATTTGGGATTGGGAATTTGGGATTGGGAATTCCCAGGCCCGGCCTCGGCCCGGCCCCTCGCTGCCCCGGCCCCGGGGACCCCGGCCCCAGCCTGGGAACGGGATCGGGATCGGGAATTGGGAATTTGGGATTATGGGATTTGGGATTGGGAATTGGGCTGGGATTTAGGCTGGAATTTCGGCTGAGTTTAGGCCTGGAAATGGGATTGGGATTGGGATTTGGGATTGGGAATTGGGATTTGGGCTGGAATTTGGGCTGAGTTTAGGCTGGGTTTAGGCCGGGTTTAGGCTGGGATTTGGGGAAGGTTTAGGCTGGGATTTAGACTGGATTTAGGCTGGATTTGGGCTGGGTTTAGGCTGGGATCAGGCCAGGTTTAGGCAGTCCCCTCTCACCACGGCCGTGCTCCAGGGCTGGGATTTGGGGCAGGTTTAGGTTGGGATTTGGGCCGGGTTTGGGCCGGGTTTGGGCCGGGTTTAGGCCGGGTCTAGGCAGTCCCCACTCACCGCGGCCGCGCTCCAGGGCAGGGATTTGGGGCAGGTTTAGGCTGGGATTTGGCTGGGATTTGGGGCAGGTTTGGGCCGGGTTTGGGCCGGGTTTAGGCCGGGTTTAGCCCAGGTTTGGGCCGGGTTTGGGCCGGGTTTGGGCCGGGTTTGGGCCAGGTTTAGCCCAGGTTTGGGCCGGGTTTGGGCCGGGTTTAGCCCAGGTTTAGCCCAGGTTTAGGCCAGGTCTGGGCAGTCCCCGCTCACCGCGGCCGCGCTCCTTGCTGCGCCGGTACTGCGACAGCTCCTTGGCGTAATCGTCAAAGTCGTCGTCGCCCAGCGGCTCCTCGGGGTCGCAGTACTGGGAAAACGGGAATTCCGTGGGAAATCCCGTGGGGATTTTGTGGGAATTCCGTGGGAATCCCGTGGGAAATCCCGTGGGAATCCCGTGGGAATGGGGTGGGGTCAGACCCCGGGATGGGGCTGGAATTCCCTCAGGAATCTCGGGATGGGGTGGGAGTTATGGGATGGGAAGGCCAGGGTTGGGTCAGAATTCCCCCCAGGAATTCCTGACTCCCAGGACAGGCTCAGCATTCCCAGGGAACCCCTGGGACCCTCAGGACGGGCTCAGAATTCCCAGGGAACACCCGGAATTCCTGGAATTCCCAACCCCCAGGACAGTCTCAGCATTCCCAGGGAATTCCCGAACCCCAGGACAGTCTCAGCATTCCCGGGGAATTCCCAAACCCCCGGGCAGGCTCGGCATT